CACACACACACACACACACACACACACCCTGGGCGTGCCCGTGGCGCTCTGTGTGTTTGTGTTTACATGAGTGTATCTGGACTCGCTCTCATTGTTTTTCACACGGTTATTTTCGTGCTGCAGACTGACGGAGGCTGAAACTCCACCTGCCAGAAACCCGACCCTGCAAACCGAACACCTGCACGCCGCCCAAATGTGCGGACCAATGAAAAGTCAGACAGGTGAAGTTAACACGTCACAAAAACCTGTTTCTCCCCAAATCACTCAAAAACAGATCAATGAACGTCTTAAAGTCAAACTCCGAATAAGAATCCGGCTGTGTTGTTCCCGAAGTCGTGTCTAACACCTGCCGGGACACCACAGCTCCCAGAGGGCTAATGCAGGGACACACACACACACACACACACACACACACACACACACACAGAGGCCGCTTTGTCTGTCAACCTGTAGCAGCAGGCAGGCCCAGTTGCTATAGCAGCCGGTAAACATGGACGCTTTCCTCCAATCATACTGCGGTGACATCACGCTGCTGCTTTATCAAGATGGGACGGTCCAACAGGAAGTCGGGAGGTGAAACCAAAAAGAGAACAGAGAGGGGTGTGTCTGCAGATAACGCACACAGATCAACACCAGCACACACTTCCTGTTCTGAACCAGACGTGGAGGTCAGAGGTGAAAGGCTGCACTTTTAGATGTTGCACAAACTTAACTCAACTGTTCCCTGACTTAAATAAAGGGAATCAAACATATCACTTAACGAAGACACGAAACTCTTCAGATTACAGATGTTCTGAGAGACTCGTGCTTCCCCAGATGTTGATGTGATGCACATGTCATCAACTCTGTGCAGCTTTGCCGCAGTTCTGGAAAACGTGATTATGGAGGGAGAACATGTGGCGTCCTTACACCAGGGAAGCAGCACCAACCAGTGATGGAGACGTAAACAAGAGAATATTTGTTCGATTTGCATGATGATAAAATATTTGCTGCTCCAGCAGCTGCTCAGGCTTGATGGGAAGATTTGTTGGACGTGCAGTCAGAGGTTTACCTGAGCAGACCTGAGCTCCCCCCGTGTGGCGCCTCCCTCAGCAGCAGTACTCTGTGTGGCGTTATCAGCCTCTCGCATCACTGTGGAGGACGTTGGCCCACTCTTCGTTACAGCGCTGCTCCAGTTCATTGAGGTTTGCAGGTATTTGTTTATGCACAGCTCTCTAAAGCTTCACAGCATTAAAGTCAGGCCGAGGTCTGATAGTTATGGTCCACTCAGTGACTGACAAACCCTCCACCACTGTGCTTAGAGTCGGTCTGAGGTCTCTGACGTGCTGGTTTCGTGTGTTATGGGCGAACGTCTGCACTTTGGTCTCATCTGTCACGTTTCCTGAAGCCGTGTGGTTTGATCAGCTTTGCAAAGCTAAGCTGTGAAGATTGTGTCCCACCAGGACGCTCCAGGGCTGCACACTGAGCGGAGATCAGTCCATGTGTTTGATCACGAGCACCTGGCTGACCCTCCTAAGTCCTTTGGAAACAGTGAGGGTGGAGTTCTTCACGGGAGTGCAGAGATCCTGGTGAAAACTGATCACGTGATCGG